TAGAAGCAGAGGCTTGGGCTCCAGATGGGCACATCAGCTGGGACCCCTACTCCTCAGAGGGGAGACAAAAGCAAGTTTCTCAAACTTTAATATGCAAATCAATCATTGGGGATCTTGTTAAAATGTAGGTTTTTAGGTCTGAGGTAAGGCCTGAGAGTCTGCATTTCTAACAAGTTTCCAGCTAGTAATCTGTTACTGGTGTCTGTCTAGTCTGCAGCAAAGATGTAAAGCACGAGGCCTAGATTGGGGCCTTACTAAGCTGGCTCTAAGGGCAGAACTCAGCTGTAGAACGGGAGTGCTATCTATGGGAGTGGAAGGTGACCTTAGGACTGGCAGGAGATCACTGCCTAGGATGGAGTACATTGGTAATGGCTAATGGAGGGCTGGCAAACAGTGCTTGCAGTGCTGGCACTTGAAAAGCTATAGGCTAATGGGCAAGTTAGACATTAATAACTAATTGCATGACGTTGTGTAATAGGGAATAACAGAGGTATATATGAAGCACATAGGTGACAGAGCAGAGGTGGTGATTAACTCTTTGTTGGAAAAATGTTTCACAAAGAAAGTAGTGTCTGAGCAGAGCACTGAGTTTCCTAGAGAACAAAGACAGAAAGGGGATTCAAGGCCAAGGGAATAACTTATCTGTGGCAGGCTATATTTCCCAAAAATGGCTGCAACAATATCTCCACTCCCACAAAACCTTCTAGAAACTTTCCACTTCCCTATTAAGAAGTGAATTCCAATTCTCTTTTCCTTGTTAGGATACTTCCATGAGTACAACGTGGAGAAGTGACACTATGTGACTCACGTGGCTAGATGAGAAAAGGCTACCTATCTTCTGTCTGGTTTTCTTGGGATGCTTGTTTTTGGAAAACAACCACTATGCTGTGAGGAAGCCAAGCAGCCCATGGAAAGTCCTGGTGGGGAGGAAATGAGGACTCCACCCACTATTCCTATTGAGATCCTAGCTGACAGCCAACACCAACTTGCCAGCCATGTGAATGAGCCATTTTGAAAGAAGGTCTTCCAGCCTCTGTCATACTGTTCCAGGTGACACTATGTGGAGCAGAGATAAGCCACTTCCACTAAGTCCTGACCAAATTGTGGATCCATGGGCAAAATCAGTGATTGTTGTTTAAACCATCAACTTTTGGAGTGGTTCGTTATGCAGAAGAGATTCCCATAACAATATCCAAAGGTAAAAAGGTGTAAAGCAGCCTGGTGTTTAAAAATACGACACAAACATGGGCATGTTTATATATAACTCAGCTAGTAGGAAAAAAAACATAATAAGATGGGACCTGTTGAGAATGTTGAATCTGAGATGTGGAGTGGAGGGAAAAAGTTTAGTAAACAAACCATTAGTAGTGAAAATGTAATGACGTTGTACTATATATTCAACAATTCTTAGATTAATTATTATTCACGACTCTGACAGTTTCTAGATACAATGTTAAGGCATTTATATAACAAAGTTTTCTTGCTGTAAAATACTAAATTCTTATTGAAAAGAAAATACTGGCCAGGCATGGTGGTTCATGCTTGTAATCCCAGTCCCTCCCTTGTCTGTTTTGGGATGTCAAGGCCAGAGAAATGCTTGAGCCCAGGAATTCAACCAGTCTGGGAGACATAGCAAGATCCTGCCTCTATAAAAATTTAAAAATTAGCCAGGTGTGATAGCACACAGCTGTGGTCCCAGCTACTCGGGAGGCTGAGGCAGAAGGATCGCTTGAGCCCAGGAGGTTGAGGCTGCAGTGAGCCATGTTCACCCCACTCCACTCCATTCTGGGCAAAAGACTTAGATCTTGTCTCATTAAAAAAAAAAAAAAAAAAAAAAAGACGAATAATCTGCTGCTGTGTGTATGCTGTAGATAAAGCCCTGGTAGACAATTTCCAAAAGAAATCAATTTATTGTTTTTACTACCAAAGTGGAAACATGATATAATTTCAGAAACAAATAAAAAACCCACCTGAATTATGTGGGAGATAAGTTCCCACATTCTCGGGACATCAAAATACATAATTCTGATCTATCATCAGTACCCTCGTTTTTCTCCCTAAACACACATTTCTAAGAGAACCAACCAGGAGTTTGTGAAAGATGTAAAATTTATGACTATTCTTTAAAGCTGACAACGTTATTTCCTACAAGCCTTAGGAGTGGTGGGTGCATGCTAATTTGAAAGATAAGGATTTAAAATGCAGTGAATTGATATGTCAAGATTGTTTCCTGAACTTGTGGGTCTCTTGCATGTTTTTTAAAATTCTTTGACACTAACCTAATGTGTGGTTGAAAACCAATATCCCCATGCAGCATGGGAATTTATATTACATTTAGCAGCTGGGAATGGAAGATTCCTGGGATGGGGATAGCTAGTGACAACTTCTTTCTGCTCTCAGCTGATCTGGCTCCTCCTGGAATACTGTGTTCAGTTCCTGACACCATATTTTAGGAGAAACATAGACAAATTAGAGTACATTTGGAAGAGAGTGCCTTAAATGGCAAGGAAACACAAACCCATGTCATGTGAGGGACAAATGAAGAAAAAGGAGATACTAATTCAGGGAGGAACCAACTAATGGGGCATATTCAACATTTTTAAATAATAAAAGCCTTCCTGAAGAAGGGCTGTTGGCATTGTTCAGTAACCTCAAAAGCATATCAAGGGAAGAACTGGGAGGCAATTTTGGGGTGAAGAAAGTCAAAGCTGCCCAAAGATGGAATTGGCTATTAGAAGAGGTAGACAGTCCCTGTCACTGGAGGTATTCAAGCAATTTTTTAAAGAAAGAATTCTAAATTTGATGATGGTCGGATTTGACAACCTGCAAGGTTCTTTCCACTACTGTGAGAGCTTTGACGTCCTTCAGAGACTCCCATATCATTGTAGCAGGACAAGCCACAGACAAAACTCCTCAGACACCGAGTTAAAGAAGGAAGGGGTTTATTCGGCTGGGGGCATTGGCAAGACTCCTGTCTCAAGAGTCGAGCTCCCCGAGTGAGCAATTCCTGTCCCTTTTAAGGGCTCACAACTCTTAAGTGGGTGCATGTGAGAGGGTCGTGGTCAATTGAGCAAGCAGGGGGGTACGTGACTGGGGGCTGAATGCACCAGTAATTAGATCGGAACAAAATAGGTTAGGGATTTTCACAGTGCATTTCTATACAATGTCTGTAATCTATAGATAACAGAACCGATTAGATCACCGGTCGATCTTTAACTACCAGGCCCAGGGTGTGGTGCCAGGCTGTCTGCTTGTGGATTTCATTTCTGCCATTCAGTTTTTACTTTTTCTTTCTTTGGAGGCAGAAATTGGGCATAAGACAATACGAGGGGTGGTCTCCTCCCTTATCATCACCCCTGGGAGTCACCAGGTATAGTCTCATATGAGCTAATAAAACAGCCGCTTTCCTTTTTCCCACTTCTTGCTTCCAGAAGCGGCAGCATTTTCTGGAGCCTCCAAAGCCTATGAAATCCCCAGAAGTAATCTGTTCTCTACCACTGGCTAAAAGGGGCCTATCTTACCCCCGAATGATCAGCCCCAAATAGTTCTGCACAAATGCCTCCAAGCTGCACCACCAGCCAAGCCACTGATAGTGCTGGGGCTACTTCCCACTCTCTGTCAGTTCCCTCAACATGGCAATGCCTGGCTTCTTCCCTTTTATGTGTTACACTGTGCAATTGTCAAACAGATTTTGTGGGCATATGGCTGTTAGTCCTTAGTCATAGACCTTCTTCCCCTTGGACCATAAAAGTCTACTGGAGTTGAATTGAAATAATCAGAAAGCAACAGATTTTATGACTTGCCTAAAATTACCTTTATCCAGTGATACGCTCATCATCCCTAAGCAATCTTCTATGCCTCCAACCTCTTTTTCCTTAGGATCTTTCTTCTCAGGACAATGCTTGGCTCCTCATTTAAATAGGCTACTCCTCCTTAAGAGCTTGCTCTACCACCCTTAGTACATACCTGACATTCTGAATCCTAGGTTGAGACAAATTAGACTCAAGCTGTAGCCTTTCCTTTTTGTTTTTCCCCTATCTGCCCTCCCTGCAATATGATTCTGTGACTGAGGGTTAAGAGCAGAGAAAGAAGAAAATAAAAATAATAGATTAAAAAATGGGTTATGGAGACCAGGTACAGTGGCTCACACCTGTAATCCTAGAACTTCGGGAGGCCAAGGTGGGCAGAACACTTGAGGTCAGGACTTTGAGACCAGCCTGGCCAATACAGGGAAACCCTGTCTTTACCAAAATATACGAAAATTACCTGGGAGTGGTGGTCCACACCTGTAGTCCCAGCAGGCTGAGGCAGGAGAATCACTTGAACTCAGGAGGCGGAGGTTGCAGTGAGCCAAGATCACGCCACTGCACACCAACCTGGGTGACAGAGTGAGACCCTGTCTCAAAAAAAAAAGAAAATGTTCACACAAGGGGAAAGGAAAAGAATTGTGTGATGTGGATGGCTTAATTAAAAATGTTGAGTGGAGGCCGGGCGCGGTGGCTCAAGCCTGTAATCCCAGCACTTTGGGAGGCCGAGACGGGTGGATCACGAGGTCAGAAGATCAAGACCATCCTGGCTAACACGGTGAAACCCCGTCTCTACTAAAAAATACAAAAAACTAGCCAGGCGAGGTGGCGGGCGCCTGTAGTCCCAGCTACTCAGGAGGCTGAGGCAGGAGAATGGCGTAAACCCGGGAGGCTGAGCTCGCAGTGAGCTGAGATCCGGCCACTGCATTCCAGCCTGGGTGACACAGCGAGACTCTGTCTCAAAAAAAAAAATGTTGAGTGGAGTTCAAAAATAATTAAGTGTGATGTTTATACTCTAAATAGTATAACTGAAAGAAATGCTCCTGGAACTTAGCAGTGACAATGTAATTGGTCACTTGTCATAAGTTTTCGATGAAAATCTCATTCACAAATCACGAACAAAATATTCAATAGCTTGCTGATAGTATTTGGAAAACAATTTTTCATACTCATTCAATGCTAATTATAAACTTGGAGAGTCAAATTAAGAATATATTGTATATACACTGAATAAAGATATTTACACATACACAATGTGGGTCAACTGATACTCTCCAACTTCTGAGGTAAAAGTAGCTTGTTACCAGTGTCCTTGGCAAAGTCATGCTGAGGATTAATGGAAGGGACAGTGTATGTTTGCCCTCCACTCTGAACAAGAAGAGAGATCAAGCGGATTTAGCTCTTTCATGTGAACTTTCCTTAGAGGTGCACAACTCCTCAGGGATGTAGTTTGGGAGCAGGCTGGGGGAAAAGAGGTCAACAGTTTGACTTCTTACGTATTCTTCACAGCATATCGTAGTGGGCCTCTTTCTCTTGCCTGTACAACAGAGAGAAATGACAGGAATTAATAAGAAAGCTAATACTCTACTCACTCTAAGCCTCTGAAGAAGAATTCAGGTATTTATTTTGGCTCTCTGAGGCCAGTCTAATGAAAGTTGAGCCTGGTACAGGATTGAACACATCAACTATTAAGCAAATGGAAGAATTAGAGGCAGGATATCAGTTATAATCAGAAGCTCACAGCTCAGAAGCTAGGTTAAAGCGGAGATGATGAGCAACGGCATGAGTGAAGCTCATCCCAGTTAGCAAGTCCAAGATAGTTAGAAGTAGAGTGTGAAACTATGTTTGTGAACGTGGAGTTCTGATGACAAAAGCGCAAGAGGAATGGAAATGCATGGCTTGGATCACACTTTAAGAAAAAAATTTGCCTATCCACTATGAGGAGTCCAAGTTAGCTGCTGTCAACTGGCAGCTCTTAGTGCCCTCAGGACCCATTTTAGTTTTTGATCCACGGACATGCTCTCCCTAGGCATCCCAGCAAATGACAGAACATGATGGGGGCAGTACAAACTGGCAATTTCTGCCCAATGCTTATGGGCAATCTTTGCACTGGAGCTTCATTAGGCTGGACGAGACTTCCTCAGCACTGCACTTCAGCATGAGGCTCCTCCTACACACTTCTTCCTCCTTTCTCTCTTTTCACAGCTATCAAACCTGTATTATAGCCTGAAGGATTTCCCTGTCTACTCCTGCTTCCTTTCCCCTTTATCATTCGTATATAAATACATACATTTCTTGCACATCTAACTGCATCTTGCTGCCTACCTCCTGGAGGACTCAGCCAATACAAGGGGGGTTGCTGATGTTCAGGTTTGGATCATAATCCAGAAAGACACAGTCCCAAATGCCATAATCCCAAATGTTGAAGCCCTCAAAAATCAACATCCTTAGACACAAGATGGGAAAATGTAGTAAGAAGTGCTCGTGTTGATGTATATCAAATAACAGAAGAATTTCAAAAAGAGCAGGGCCACATAGAAAATGATTGTGAATGTATTTTTGGAGGAGAGCTATGTCAAAAAAAAAAAAAAAAAAAGCAGCTATTCGTTGTGATGCAAGACTTCAAACTAGAGTTAATGATTGTGAAAGTCAGCCGGGTCTTCTGGGACTATATCTGTGCAATTACCCATAATCTATCCTTGTAATACACTGTTTCGTATGTTGAATTTTCTTTGACTTCCTGGGCTCAAGCAATCCTCCCACCTCAGCCCCCTGAGTTGATGGTATGGGTGAGCCACTGCCTCTTTCTTCTTATTTTAAGTTTTTTTCCCTATTATTTTAAATTGTCAACTTTTTTTTTTTTTTTGACAATTTGCTATGCTATGTATTTCATCTTGGCATCATCTCCAATACTTGAGGTATAAATTGTGTAGAGACTTTTAGAGAGTTCTAATTTGTTTTATGCATCTTTTGCAAATTTGACTCCATGAGAGTGAATTACTACGATGATTTGCATGTAAGTATTGTTCATGTAGGTAAAAACATTGAAACTTCCTTAATAAATGAAAAGATGCCTTTTTTTGTACATTTGATTTGCGAAAAGTAAAGTTTCCCAAGATCTCAGCTCTTTGGGCAACTGCATATGTGGTGGTGACCCACTGAGGTTTTTGACTGATTTCTTCAAAAGATTTAGGTATTTGTCATGGTATTTCAGGAAGACCACAATAATTCAGCCTGGGGCACTCACTTACCAACCATAGTGATATGTTTACACATTCCCTTCTTTGACATATTTATTTATGAATAAGGCTTGTCTGCTCATAACTGTGACACTCATGTGACTGTCATTAGTACACCTGAGTGTTGCAAAAATATGTATTGCCTATTTTATTGTTAAACTGGCCTATGAAGTGCTCTGTTGTATTTTTATGTTTCTCAAATAAATCCCCCTTTTAAAATGTAAATAAATGTTTTATTTTTTTCAGAATTATATTCTTGAGATTTTGATCTTTCTGGGTTGTGATTTTCAGGATTTTGGACTTTAGAGATTTTAGTCTTTTAGGATTTTTGGGATTACGGCATTTGGAATTGTCTTTTGAGATTATGATCAGCTCCCCCAGAATTTGAGGATACAACCTGACTAGAACCAGGCTAGTAAGATAAATCATCAACTGGGGGCCTTGACACTTGGCTTCTCTGATAGTGCTGGTTTTTCATTTGACCCTGGTTTGCATATTAATCCCAGAGACTTTAAACAAATGACTTACCTACAGAGTCCTCATAGTAAGCCCTGGTCAAAAGAAAAACAGAACAGAAAGCAAAAGAGAAAAGAGTCTTTACTCTTCTCCATTCATATAAGTAGTGCCTTCCTCTGGATATGTAGGTATACTAAAAATCATTGAATTATATACTTTAAATTGGTGAATTGTATGGTCTGTGAATTCTATCTCATAAAGCTGTTATTTAAAAATTGTACACTTCCTAGTATAGAAGGTAGTACTAAGATACATGTGAAAGAAAATAAAAGCAATAAGATAATGACAGCCAAAAAAAAAAAAAAGTTTTTTCAGACTCAGCATGGTAGCTCACACCTGTAATCCCAGCACTTTGGGAGGCTGAGGTGGGAGGATTACTTGAGGTCAGGAGTTTGAACTAGTGAAACCCAACATGGTGAAACTCCGTCTCTACTAAAAACACAAAAGTTAGTTGTTGGGCCTGGTTGCTGGCGCCTGTAGTCCCAGCTACTCAGGAGGCTGAGGCAGGAAAACCACTTGAACCCAGGAGGCGGAGGTTGCAGTGAGCTGGGATTGCACTACGGGACTCCAGCCTGGGCAACAGTGCAAGGGTCCATCTAAAAAATAAAAATGTTTTCTCATTTGGTCATATTTAAAAAGATTTCACATTTTTTCTTTCTAGAGCCTGCAGAGAAGGCCAGAGGGTTCATGAAATACTGGAAAATATTCATTAGTATACTTTCTGAATTCATAAAACATAGTAAAGAGCTTACGTATTCTTTGAAATGGTTGTTGATAGGAAGGACGTGAAACAGTTACACTCATCTCCACACTTCTGTAGTTTGGGGAAATGGCAGCTGAAAAAGCAGGTATATATTTATTAATTCAACCAACCCTTCGGGGATGCTTTTTCTTTTTACTAATGTGTAGATGTGGAGATAAATAAGGTATGGTGTACGCCGTTCAGAAGTTCACAGCAAAGTAAAGAATGCAGGCTTTTAAACAGTGTAACGTACAGGGAGACATGCTGTGTGGCTGACCTAGAAGACTATTTGCAAGAGAAAGTGGCAAACTCAAGTGAGAGAATTACACCTAGACTTGAGGGTGAGATGATCTCCCACTTATCAAAGCACCAGGAAGACTAGTAGCTCACACTTCTATTGTACTTACTTTGCTTCACGTCTATTCAAGTTGCACACGTATATTAACTCGTTTAATCTTCCCTCTGACCCTATATAAGAATTGGCCATTCAAATAAGCCCCATTTGTAGGGGAGAACTCTGAGACAGTAAGAAGTTAAGCCACTTGCTCATGGTCACATAAGCAGCAGTGGAGCCAGGATCTAGAAACCAGACAGCTCAGTTCCAAAGCATTTCTGCAATGCCCAGGAAAGGCACCAACCAGGGCAAGGCTTATTCCATCTGTTTCTTTCTGAGGTTTCTCCATGTTAAGATTTCTCCATATTTTTATTTATTGCACTAATAGTATTATAATAACTACAACAAAGAAAACCTCAACTACAATCTCATTGCTCAACAAATCTCTGATTCTTTCCTTTCTGTTTGGTTAGTCCTCTCCAGAGCCAATTCTTCCTTTCTTCCTCCTGTGTTGTCTAAAGACATCCCCTCAGAACCACTTTTCTTTTTTTTTTTTGCTGGCCTGTGCTGTCTCTTGAGATCCTTTACTTATGTCTCAGTACCTCCTTGAGCCTCTATGTTTGTAGTTACTGGGAAGTTAGATGCAATAGTCCATTTCAGGAGTCAGCGGGACTCCTCGCCCTGGAAGAACTACCACGACAGCAACCTCCTTGGGGAACTTCATCATTAGTGAGCAGAGAGCATGGTGTAGTAGTCATCCATTGATGCACAACAAATTACCCTCAAAACTTAGTGACTACAAACAACAAACATGATCTCCAGGTTCCAGAGTGGCTTAGCTGGGTGTTTCTGGCTCAAGGTCTTTCAAGAGGTTGCAGTTAAGATGTTGATCGGGGCTTCATTGTCTGAAGGCTTAGCTAAGGCTGAAGGATCTGCTTTCAAGTTTACACATGTGGATGTTAGCAGATCTTCTTTTTTAGTCACATGGGCCTCTCCATACGGCTGCTCACTATATGGCAGCTAGCTTTCCCCAGAGTCAGTGACAGCAGAGAGATAGAGACAGAGAGAGAGAGAGACAGAGCGCGAGAGGGAGCACATCAACGTGTGCACAACCAAGATGGAAGCCCTAAACTAATCTTGGAAGTGACATACCCTCACTTCTCACAGCATTATACCAAACCTAGCATGACGTAGGAGGGGATTACACAAGGGTGTGAATACCAAGAGGCAGGGATCAGTGGGACATCTTAGAGACTGATTACCATACTCGGGCAACATCTAGGGGTGAGTGGAGCAGCCACACTTCTATGTTTGCATCTTAATTTACATGAATGGCAGCCCCTGACATTTTGCAGTATACAAAATATACGATCATACATAGTGGTCCAGGTAACAGTTCCTGAACAAGTGGGGAAGTCAGGGGAATTTGTCCTCAGTACGCTTCTATTCCCTGTTAGAACTTCATTTATTTGTTTATTTATGAAACAAACTTTTTTTTAAAGCATCTGGTTGTACCTTTGTGTTGGTACTGAACTAGGTAGGTAATGGGGTTACAGTTCTAACAGAGTTTCAATTTTCCTACAGCACTGTTGCCCTTAAGTATCCAAAACATTTGGGGTGATTACAGCCTCCCTCAAGCCAGACAGTACGCAACAGATCATTGTTTTCTATCCCATTCTCTCAGGGCCCTAATCTTTGGAAAACCTGAGCTAATATGATGTTTCTTTCAAAGGGTATAATATAAATATGTAACAACCCCTGATAATTGGGTGCCTAACAAGAAAAGAAGTTGCCTAAACAAGCAGCAGGGCTCTACCAGTATAACGCTGCTGCTAAAATTCAGCACAGTTCGCCTGAGAGCGGTCTTTTCTATCACCCATCCATCCAGTCAAACTGGAAAACTAACTGTGGCTGTACTTACTCACGAAGTTGGCAGGAGCAACGTTTTAAGAAGGCCCCTTCAAAAAACATTCCCATTTGCCAGTTTCAGGGGGAAAAATGTAGGCTCTAAATTAAAGCTCAGAAATAAAAAATGTAAGAAAGGAGTGAGTTCATGATGACAGACTGATGGACCAGAGCAGAAAATATAAGGAAGGTGAGCTATTTGTCTCGGAGACCAAGTGTGCGCCACAGAAGAGACAAATGGAGAAAATCAAATAAATATTTATGTTTGTAACACCAGACTCATGGTAAAGTGTCCTTAAGTTCAGACTCCAGAGTCAAACTGCTGATTTCAAGTCAGCTCTGCTCCTCACTAGCTACGTGATGTGGGTGAGTGACTTAATCCCTCTGTACCTCAGTATTCTTATCTGTACAGTGGGGCTGACTGCATAAAACCAACCTATGTGGTGGTTGTGACCCAGTATAACTGAAGTGCTTAGCATGCTGTCTAGCATAAATTAAGAACACGGTAAGCACTAATTATTATTACTGAAGAAATCAGAACAATACCTACTATGTCATCAACTGAAAGAGACCAACTTCATTCACTCGATCATTATCTATTGAATATATACAGCACTGAACCCCAGACGACAAAATCCTTTTTCTCAAGGTTCTTTTATGTGGGAGGGCCGGGAGAGGGAGGAAAAAGAAAGCAGAAGGGGGAAACTAATAAATAAGTAAAAAAATGTATTATGTCAGGTGGTGATCATGGAGAAAAATAAAGCAGAGGATATGGATAGGAAGTTCTGCGGGAGGAGTGGGAGGAAAGAATGTTCTAGACAGAGGAAATAGCAAGTACACAGGTCTTGAGGCTGAGGAATGCTTGGTGTGTCTGTCCATAACTACAAGGCAGGTGTGGCTGGAAGGAGAGGAGGATGGAGTGAAATCGTACAGCTTGAGGTCAGAGGAATCCTGCCTGGGAATGGTGGGCAGATCATGCAGGGCATGTGTCCATATTCAGCACTTTGGCTGTTGCTGTATGATGGGAAGCCACTGGAATTTTTGAGAAGAGAGACATAATCTAATCTTTGTTTTTTAAGGACAGTCAGCTGTGTGTAGGTGTGGGGGAGGGAGGGGCGGAGAGTGGGAGGTAGACAGATCAGGTAGGACATAATTATTGAGAGATGATGGCTTAGACCAGGACACCAGCAGTGGGGAGGGGAGTGAGGAGTGGACATTTTCACCGTATATTTGTGAAAGCAGAGTCAACAGAATTTGCTGACGAACATGATGCTGAGTGTAAAGCAGAGAAAGTTCAGAGATAGGGAAGTTCTGAGGACAAGGATTTTTCTCTTTTATTCAATGTCATATACCTACCACCTAGACAGTGCCTGGCATCAATAAATGTTCCTTGAATAAACGAAAAGGGTAACTGATTTGTATTAAATCCATTTTGAACTTAGTAAATAGCAGTTAAAACATCCACAGTCAAACGAAGTACTGTAGCAACCATAATTTCAGCAATTAAGCAGTGAAAGGTCTTCCAATCCTTTCCTCCACAAAGATCGAAGTTAACTTTGCTGCATCGCTGGACACCCCGTTGCCAACGACCCAGCACTCCCTTGGTAAGTGAGGCTGGAGGTGGGGTTGGGAGAAATTTCATGGAAGCTAAGTTTGCAAAGCAGGTACATTTTTTTTTTTTAAACGGTTATTTGGGGTGAGGAGTAAAACAGAACCTAATGTTCCCTCAGGCCACCTACAGCACTGCTACTGTTCTCATATCCTTCAACTGGGCATGAAGGCAGCTTCCCACTCACTCTGACAGTGGCGCACCCTGTACCCCCCACCTCTCTCTTCAATACCCCAGGGCTAAATGGCCCGAGGCTCCTCTCTACCGGCTGGTGTGCATTCTGGGCCAGGGCGAGCCAAAAGGCAGAAGGGCCTTCGTGCTGCAGTGTCGGGTGAAGAGTCAGGCTTAGCCTGGACGAACTTTCCAGGCCAATGTGAAGTTTTCCTATCTTGGGTACATGCGGGCCCCACGCGTCTGCGAGTTTGGGTTAGTGTGTCAACAGGGTCAGTCCCGGTAGCTACTTTGCGAAAGCTTCGAGGCGAGCGTGAAGTCAAGGGCTGCGGTGGATGGGGGTGAAAGGCCTCCTCGCCCCATTGCCTGCACCGTCTTGGGGCAACCCCCAACCCCCAGTCGGCATTTCCCTTTAATGCGCGTGCCCGTCAAGGTCCTCGCGTCCCCTAGATGTGTATAAGAGACAGCGGCTGCTCACTATATGGCAGCTAGCTTTCCCCAGAGTCAGTGACAGCAGAGAGATAGAGACAGAGAGAGAGAGAGACAGAGCGCGAGGGGGAGCACATCAACGTGTGCACAACCAAGATGGAAGCCCTAAACTAATCTTGGAAGTGACATACCCTCACTTCTCACAGCATTATACCAAACCTAGCATGACGTAGGAGGGGATTACACAAGGGTGTGAATACCAAGAGGCAGGGATCAGTGGGACATCTTAGAGACTGATTACCATACTCGGGCAACATCTAGGGGTGAGTGGAGCAGCCACACTTCTATGTTTGCATCTTAATTTACATGAATGGCAGCCCCTGACATTTTGCAGTATACAAAATATACGATCATACATAGTGGTCCAGGTAACAGTTCCTGAACAAGTGGGGAAGTCAGGGGAATTTGTCCTCAGTACGCTTCTATTCCCTGTTAGAACTTCATTTATTTGTTTATTTATGAAACAAACTTTTTTTTAAAGCATCTGGTTGTACCTTTGTGTTGGTACTGAACTAGGTAGGTAATGGGGTTACAGTTCTAACGGAGTTTCAATTTTCCTACACCACTGTTGCCCTTAAGTATCCAAAACATTTGGGGTGATTACAGCCTCCCTCAAGCCAGACAGTACGCAACAGATCATTGTTTTCTATCCCATTCTCTCAGGGCCCTAATCTTTGGAAAACCTGAGCTAATATGATGTTTCTTTCAAAGGGTATAATATAAATATGTAACAACCCCTGATAATTGGGTGCCTAACAAGAAAAGAAGTTGCCTAAACAAGCAGCAGGGCTCTACCAGTATAACGCTGCTGCTAAAATTCAGCACAGTTCGCCTGAGAGCGGTCTTTTCTATCACCCATCCATCCAGTCAAACTGGAAAACTAACTGTGGCTGTACTTACTCACGAAGTTGGCAGGAGCAACGTTTTAAGAAGGCCCCTTCAAAAAACATTCCCATTTGCCAGTTTCAGGGGGAAAAATGTAGGCTCTAAATTAAAGCTCAGAAATAAAAAATGTAAGAAAGGAGTGAGTTCATGATGACAGACTGATGGACCAGAGCAGAAAATATAAGGAAGGTGAGCTATTTGTCTCGGAGACCAAGTGTGCGCCACAGAAGAGACAAATGGAGAAAATCAAATAAATATTTATGTTTGTAACACCAGACTCATGGTAAAGTGTCCTTAAGTTCAGACTCCAGAGTCAAACTGCTGATTTCAAGTCAGCTCTGCTCCTCACTAGCTACGTGATGTGGGTGAGTGACTTAATCCCTCTGTACCTCAGTATTCTTATCTGTACAGTGGGGCTGACTGCATAAAACCAACCTATGTGGTGGTTGTGACCCAGTATAACTGAAGTGCTTAGCATGCTGTCTAGCATAAATTAAGAACACGGTAAGCACTAATTATTATTACTGAAGAAATCAGAACAATACCTACTATGTCATCAACTGAAAGAGACCAACTTCATTCACTCGATCATTATCTATTGAATATATACAGCACTGAACCCCAGACGACAAAATCCTTTTTCTCAAGGTTCTTTTATGTGGGAGGGCCGGGAGAGGGAGGAAAAAGAAAGCAGAAGGGGGAAACTAATAAATAAGTAAAAAAATGTATTATGTCAGGTGGTGATCATGGAGAAAAATAAAGCAGAGGATATGGATAGGAAGTTCTGCGGGAGGAGTGGGAGGAAAGAATGTTCTAGACAGAGGAAATAGCAAGTACACAGGTCTTGAGGCTGAGGAATGCTTGGTGTGTCTGTCCATAACTACAAGGCAGGTGTGGCTGGAAGGAGAGGAGGATGGAGTGAAATCGTACAGCTTGAGGTCAGAGGAATCCTGCCTGGGAATGGTGGGCAGATCATGCAGGGCATGTGTCCATATTCAGCACTTTGGCTGTTGCTGTATGATGGGAAGCCACTGGAATTTTTGAGAAGAGAGACATAATCTAATCTTTGTTTTTTAAGGACAGTCAGCTGTGTGTAGGTGTGGGGGAGGGAGGGGCGGAGAGTGGGAGGTAGACAGATCAGGTAGGACATAATTATTGAGAGATGATGGCTTAGACCAGGACACCAGCAGTGGGGAGGGGAGTGAGGAGTGGACATTTTCACCGTATATTTGTGAAAGCAGAGTCAACAGAATTTGCTGACGAACATGATGCTGAGTGTAAAGCAGAGAAAGTTCAGAGATAGGGAAGTTCTGAGGACAAGGATTTTTCTCTTTTATTCAATGTCATATACCTACCACCTAGACAGTGCCTGGCATCAATAAATGTTCCTTGAATAAACGAAAAGGGTAACTGATTTGTATTAAATCCATTTTGAACTTAGTAAATAGCAGTTAAAACATCCACAGTCAAACGAAGTACTGTAGCAACCATAATTTCAGCAATTAAGCAGTGAAAGGTCTTCCAATCCTTTCCTCCACAAAGATCGAAGTTAACTTTGCTGCATCGCTGGACACCCCGTTGCCAACGACCCAGCACTCCCTTGGTAAGTGAGGCTGGAGGTGGGGGTGGGAGAAATTTCGTGGAAGCTAAGTTTGCAAAGCAGGTACATTTTTTTTTTTTTAAACGGTTATTTGGGGTGAGGAGTAAAACAGAACCTAATGTTCCCTCAGGCCACCTACAGCACTGCTACTGTTCTCATATCCTTCAACTGGGCATGAAGGCAGCTTCCCACTCACTCTGACAGTGGCGCACCCTGTACCCCCCACCTCTCTCTTCAATACCCCAGGGCTAAACGGCCCGAGGCTCCTCTCTACCGGCTGGTGTGCATTCTGGGCCAGGGCGAGCCAAAAGGCAGAAGGGCCTTCGTGCTGCAGTGTCGGGTGAAGAGTCAGACTTAGCCTGGACGAACTTTCCAGGCCAATGTGAAGTTTTCCTATCTTGGGTACATGCGGGCCCCACGCGTCTGCGAGTTTGGGTTAGTGTGTCAACAGGGTCAGTCCCGGTAGCTACTTTGCGAAAGCTTCGAGGCGAGCGTGAAGTCAAGGGCTGCGGTGGATGGGGGTGAAAGGCCTCCTCGCCCCACTGCCTGCACCGTCTTGGGGCAACCCCCAACCCCCAGTCGGCATTTCCCTTTAATGCGCGTGCCCGTCAAGGTCCTCGCGTCCCCTCCCCTCAAGCCACCCCGTCGGCCTCGGTTTCCCCCACTTCTCTCCCTCCTTGTCGTTCCTTCCCCGTGGGACGCCCCTCGCCCACCCCCGTCAGAGCCTGGCCTGCGCGCGGGACCCAGCTGTCACTTTACTTTTCCACGCCGCCTCCCCACCCCC